GTCCATCATCTCATGTCCATGCAAGTGAGGATCCCATCAGGTCACTTAAAACGAGGTATGTCACTTTTCATTTATTATTCTCGAGAATTGTGCTTGTCCTGACTTGAGCGTCGGAGTGCCTTTTGCAGGTACCTCCCCTCTCCGAAACACTTACTTGAAGCTCTCGTTCGGCCCTCAACCTACCAGAAGATTACGAGTGTGCCCTCTGACAGGTACAGTCTCTAAACATGAGAACATTAAATATTAATTCGAATAATTACATTTTATTAAAAATTACAATTCTAAGTAGCCATTTATGTTTAAAACTGAATCATGTAAAAGAATATTTTGGCAAAAATGATGTTCAATGTTCGGTAATTATTCAAATTGTTAAAATAATGATTTTTATTTTAAAATACCTTGAAGGAAGTTAAAAAGTAATTTTTTTCATACATATATTAAATAATTTGGAAAAATTATATTCTTTTAAATATATATATCACATTACCAATAAAAATATGTAAGCGAAAGAAAGATATTTTTTTTCTTAAAAATAAAAAAAAAATTATTCATTTTACGTGAATTAAAAATACATTTTAGTCTAAAATTAATTTTATGTCAAATCTATTAAAATTCTGGTTTCTACAAGATAAATGAGTAAAAGTAGATAACACAAGTGAGAAATAAAAAGAATGAGAGTGTCTAGAAAAGAAATTAGAAGGAAATGAGAATCGAAATAAAACTCACTACTTTTATTTCGTCGTTAAACTAAAGATAAATAACGAGGAAACAAGTTCCCAGTTAAGCTTACATTTTATCAATTAAACTTAAGTTTTATATGTTGAATCACTAATAATGTAATTAAACTTATATTTAATCGGTTACTGATTTTATATAATCAATTAAATTTTCATAAAAACATTCAATTAAAAAATAATTTTGAAATATTTATTTTCTATTTTTTCTATTTTTCTTAAACTAAACATTTATATTTTCACTGTAAAATGTATTAAAAAGATAGATATTTTCACGGATTTTAAACACCGAATGGTGAGGGAATATATACAGGAAACCCACTAATTCTAAAGTAGGTTTTCATCACATGTTGAGCTTTACGAATTAGGATGATTACCCTTTTCATCACGGGCTGAATAACCTCACTTCCACTTGTCACTACATGTCAAAATTGTCCTCTAGCTCAGCATTGCTTTTTTCTTGATTCCCCTTGTCCATGAAAAATTGAAATCGTAGTTTTGGTTTTGTACATGACAACTTGTCCGTGAATCCAAGCAAGGAGCTCACCCTGCCACACCGTGGGGCCCACGTATATCCCGATCGATTTTCCGGTCCTTCAAGTCAATGATTCATCACAAAAAATCAATAATTAAATTCCCATTGTTATGAGTGAGATTTAGATTTAGATTGATTATTGTCACAACTCTTGTCCGTGAGCATGACTCACGAGAAAGAGAAGCTAGGGTTTGAGGGCTGGATCATGATATAAGGGCCTCATTGTTTGTTCATTATTGAATCATATACCTTTGAGTCATGGGGAAGTTTGCTCTAGCCAATGTCTTGTTGATCCTTCTCTTGAACTTGACCAGCTTGCTCAATGTTCTTGCTTGTCCTTATTGCCCTTACCCAGCTCCTAAGCCTCCAAAACACCCTCCTAAAGTGAAACCACCAAAATCACCATGCCCACCACCCAAGTCATCTCCAAAACCACCCTACGTCCCCAAGCCTCCATTTGTGAAACCCCCTCATGTACATCCACCCTATGTCCCAAACCCTCCTCATTACCCTAAACCACCAGTGCATCCACACCCACCCCATTATCCTAAGCCCCCAGTGCATCCACACCCACCCCATTATCCTAAGCCCCCAGTGCATCCACACCCACCCCATTATCCTAAGCCCCCAGTGCATCCACACCCACCCCATTATCCTAAGCCCCCAGTGTATCCACATCCACCTTATGTTCCAAAACCCCCAGTTGTGAATCCTCCCTATGTCCCAAAACCACCACCACATGTTCCTAAACCACCATATGTTCCAAAACCACCTGTGGTTACACCACCATATGTTCCAAAACCACCTGTTGTCACACCACCTTATGTGCCTAAACCACCAGTTGTGACACCACCTTATGTGCCCAAACCACCAGTTGTTCCAGTCACACCACCTTATGTGCCAAAACCACCAGTTGTTCCAGTTACACCACCTTATGTGCCAAAACCACCCATTGTGTACCCTCCTGTTGTCCCTGTGCCACCGGTTGTACCAACACCACCCATTGTGAAACCACCCATTGTTTACCCTCCTGTAGTCCCTGTACCACCCATTGTGACACCACCTATTGTGAAACCACCCATTGTGTACCCTCCTGTGGTCCCAAAACCACCCATTGTGACACCTCCAGTGGTTACACCACCAAGCCCTCCAAGTGAAACACCATGTCCTCCACCACCACCACCAGCACAACCAACATGCCCCATTGACACCCTAAAGCTTGGGGCATGTGTGGATGTCCTTGGTGGCCTCATACACATTGGCATAGGCAGCAGTGCCAAACAGACATGTTGTCCAGTCCTTGCAGGCCTTGTTGACTTGGATGCTGCTGTGTGCCTCTGCACAACCATCAGGGCTAAGGTTCTTAACATCAACATCATAATCCCCATTGCTCTTCAGGTTCTCATTGATTGTGGCAAGACTCCACCAGATGGATTCAAGTGTGCAGACAGCTAATATATTTATAAAGGTTGTGCAGCTACACCAAGCTTATATGTTTCCAAACTCACTTTTCACGTCAACTTTATGTGTCTTCCTTTTTAATCGACATATAATTCATCATGTTCCTTTTTTTCCTTTCTCTTTCAAACTATGTATACCTAGCCTAAGGAATGTGAAAAAAAAAAAATCCTTTTAAATATGTTGGAGCTTCAACTTTTGCTAGCTTATCCTTACCTTTAGAAAATAAGGGAAAGTAAAATAATAGATTTGAATTGATGAGAAAATAGAAAGGAAAAAAAAGTCATCTCTCTCTTTTTTCTTCTTTTCATTTTCTCATATATATATATATATATGTGT